AAAAAAAAAAAAAGATATTTATCCGAATAATAAACAGTAAAGATCTATGAGATCAACAATAAAGTCAAAAGTCTTGCAGAGTCAAAAAAGACTTGCCTTCATTGTTTGGAAATGCAACACAATCCCAAAGCAAGAATGTTGTACTGAGCAGAAGAACTTGAAACGAAGCTAAGCTTATCATCTTTCTTGCACACATATCACACACACTCAACAGCTTGAAGAACCCATCAACAAGTTACAGTCTTTAAAAGAAACCCACATAAATGGAAATTTAAAATAGATAAAAGAGAGAAGGAAAAAATGAACTAAGGAGGATAAGGGTTTAAAGAAAGAAAGAAAGAAAAAGTATCCAGTCTTTTTCTTCTCCAATGGTAGAGAGAAGAAAAAAGAAAGTAAAAGATTGTATTGTTAACAGAAAATCTTGAATCAAAATCGGTAACAACCCTAGAAAGCAAAACCCACTGGTAAATGAGAGTGAGATTTCAAAGCAACCCTCAAATGGGGGAAGACTTGGATTAAAAGGGAGGTGTTTGGTGTCAGAAACAGAGAGAGAGAGAGATGGAAAAGTTGAAGATGAAGCAAATGCATAAAAAAAAAATAATAATAAATAAATAAAAAAAATAATGACGAAATTAAAAATTTCAAGTGTATGAATGCAAGATGCAGAAAGGGTGTGAAAAAAAAAATGGAAAGATCTTTTTATTTATTTATTTATTTATTATTGGTTTTGAATTTATTTTATTTATTTTAATTTTCAACTTCTTCTATGGTGGGCCTGAAGTTGGAAACAAACAGACCAGAAGAATGCGCAATTGTAAACAGCTTTTGCTTAACAATTAATTGTATTTATGATATTATGTTGAAGTTAGAATCATCTGAGAGAGAAGATGAGCTGTGGATAATATTTGTGATTTGTAAAGCAGCTTTGGCTAATTGGCTGATGCCCCTGTTTAAGTGTGAAGAGTTGGCTTAATAGGTTTTATTACACAACTACTACGATGCCCGTGTATTACATGGGTGCTTGCTAATTTTTTCTTAAAATCTAAAATTAATGAGAAAAAATAGTTGAAAATTTAAATATATTTTATAAATATATATATATATATATATTATTTTATATTTAGTATGACACTTTTTATTTGTGCAACTTATATGTGTTATATTATAATAATTTTTTAAACTTACAACCTATAACTACATTAAACATAAATATATCAATTGAGAAAAGTGTCATACTAAATATATAATAATATATATATTTATTAACTATATATACAATATGGATGTCAAATCGAAGATCATCAAAAGATGATTAATTTGATATATTATATATGTAAAACCAATAAAAAATACAAAAATTATTAACTTTTAAAATACATCTATAATTAAATAGCTAATTGAAGGAAACAAATCAAAAGTCATGATATATTAGTCACTTAAAATACAAACAAATAAAGGGTTATATTAGTACAAGTGATATTAAAATACCTAAGTTAGCGAAATAATATTTATGGAATGTCCAAACCTAAATTATTAATTATTAATATATCAATATTATTTGTCCAAACCTAATACAAAACATGATCCTTTGCCAAGTAGGATTTCGAAGAAGCAGCCACGTAGGCTCAACGCATTCGTCAATAATATATAGGGAGGATAATTTTACATTCGTGTATTACACGGGTGTTGAATCAAGAAACATATATAAAAAAATATTTATTTTTTTTTTATATATTTAAGTGTATTTTAAAGATAATGCAAATAATTGTAAAATTTTTTTAATGATGTGTAATCTATTAATATATAATAAGGATTAACATAATTCACTTTTAGAAACACTTTCCCGCCAATTTCATTAATTATTGCCTAAAAATAGTAAATTAACAAAATTGTGATTTATTAGCATATATTTTCCATTTTTTTGGGAATACAATCCAAAACTTTTATATTGGTAGCTAATATGAAATCAAAATCCAAATAAATCTCCTCTTTTTGTGGCAGCATATCCTGCGTTTTTTATGGAGTCTGCCAAATAAAAGATAAAACTATATCAATTCATCAACAAATTAAATAATATAATAATACATTTAGGAGATTCATCAAAGTAGCACTCTCATGTATTCATAGTATCCACCCAAGAAAAAAGTCATTTTAACAAACTAATATTTTAATTAACCGATTAAAATTTAAAAGGGTTAATTGCTAAATAAGGCTTAACCTTTTTGCGTTTTGCAATTTTATCAACTTGCTACGTGGATGGCATAAAATTCCGTGTCAATGAAAGACTTAGACACAAAATCTATCTACAAATCCCTAAAATCAATCACTCTATACCCAAATATGCAATAAGTAAATTGAGGTCGAGATTATATTGCAATTACCCTAAGATTGGGATAAAATTGCCAAACCAAAAAAGTTAAGTTTTATTTAGTAATTAACCCAATTTAAAAAGCTATTGAAAATAACATAAGATATTCTCGGATCCTGCCATTATAAATTAACCGATTAAAGATTAAATCATTTTATAAAATATCTATTTTTATGAAAATTATTTCGTTCAGTGCAATTTTTTTATCTACAAGATTTTAAAAATTAACCGATTAAAAACTGAAATCCTGTTTACAAGTTGACAATACATATATTTCTTTTACCACATAAATGACAAAGTAATGTTATTGGACATGTTATGTTCTCAATTTTTATTTTATAAATTAAAAAAAAAATATATAAACATGCAATATAAATAACTACAAATGATACTCGATTCTGTAGATACATGATTAACATTCAAAATATCCTTTCTATATACAAAATGTACAATCTCCACATAGTTACTTAAATTTTATGTGAATATATATATTATGAATCAAAACAAGAAAATGATCGTCGTAATCAAAATAGATACATAAGATCCATACAAAATAAAATTCTAATCAACACAAATCAATTTATTTATGAAACATGTTTTCCCTAAAAAAATATGAATTACGTATACTCTGATTATTTTAGTTAGTTTTTAACTATAAATAATCAAATATCTTTGTTTTTTAGGTAATTATTATTGTAAATATTGTTTTACATGATAAAATGTGATTTCATGTCCATCGAATCTCTATGAAAAAGTAACAATACAAAAAAGAGGTTCTAATTATTTGAATGAATTTGATATAAAAACTAACTAGATAATTAATAAAAGTAAAGATATAATCAAAATCCACACTTCAAGGTAACAATTTTGGTTATATTCCATATATATTTATCTTAAATCCGATGAATCACACATTTTGTATTTATTACAATGTTACTTATTTTCAGTGTATTTTTATTTCCATAATTTTTATTGCTAAAATGATTAGTATGCTTATAAATATCATATCGACTCCAGCCGAAAAAATCACCATTTATGAACATACCAAAAATTGGGAAATCCATAGTAAGTGCCAAACAAAAAATGGACCAACCTTTCGTTCTTATCAAAGATGTTGAAAATACAAAGAGAGTTATGTTGCAACTTCGAGAGGTTCACATGTTTGAGATCAGATTTCCTAATTCTTACCACAACATCGTGGAAATTATTTTCATGATATTGAGGTATAATATTATTTACTGTTTCTTTTTCTTTTCATGTTTGATTCACTATTTTATTTAACCAACAATTTATTTTGTTTAGTGAGCACACAATAAATTGTCTAGGGAGCACACATCACCAGTTTGGTTTGGGGGTTTAACATTCCGAAAATCCGAAAAGAATTAGAGGATGAAGATGTTTATGCAATTTGCAACTACAAAGTAGAAAGAAATCTTAGTAAATATGGATCTATAATTACCAAGTACAAAATAATTTTGCATAGAAAAACAAAAATCATAGTCAACCCAACCTATTTCTCTATTTTCCGATTTGACTTTTGAAATTTGCAACATGTTGTGATGTGGAAAATGTCGATGAGTCTTCACTTTTCGATAAAAATAACTATCGAATATGTTCATTATCATATCTAACAATGATTAAATAAATATTTTTTATTTCTGATGAATGTAGATGTCATTGGGTTGGTAGTAGAAATTCAGCAAGTGCAATTCAAGCAAGTTGCAGGACAACATACCCAAATGATTGACTTTACTCTTCTCGATTTGGAGTAAGTATTCGCATAAAGGTATTTAATTATTATATACATTTAAGAAAAATTTATTAGTAGAAATAATTATTTGATCTATTATATGGACAATACTATTAGTTGTGAGAGTCGTTATAAAGGCAAAGGTCATCCATGAGTTCTCATAATGTAGCTTGGTATTCTCATAATGAAGCTTGGTAGAGTAAGGTTGTGTGAGGGTAGTATTAAAAATTAAAGTATTATAAATTTTGATATTTTTTAATTTTGCTTTTTTATATATAATAATTTGGTGGGACAAGGCTGTGGGTTGGTTGTATTAATTAAAACCAATAATGTTATGTACAAAAAGATTTTTAATAATGTATAAATTTTTTATGACGAATATTTCGTGATCAAGTGACAAATACTCTACGTATTATACGTTATAAATTAATAGCCTTTAATTTATAAATTTTACCAAAACAAATACAGCCCGTGCATCGCACGGGTTACATACTAGTTTTATTTAAAATTATTAGATTGTAAATACGCAGTCCAATAGTTATATATAATAACAATTTTAAGTGTATTTACCCTACATATACATGCTACAGATACATCCAAATTCAAAACATTTTTTAGAAGTAGCTAACATACATGGACTTTTTCTTAGTATATCCACCTAGAATCCATTCTCCAAAAAACATTTTTATTCCATCTCCAAAGTAGTTTTTTTATTTATTTATTTTTTTTTTTGGGTACAAATTCCATCTCCAAAGTTAATTACACTTTTAGGCCCATATCTGTTATAAATCTATTATAATGCTTCAATCACATACAAAATTAGGTCTGAATATATGAACTAAATTCATCCAAGGTAGTTTAGTCCCACAATATATTTATTCAAAACTTGTTGAGCCTAGTAGCAGGCTCGTACATTTTGGAATCCTACATATCACAATATTATGCTTTGCAATTAGGTTTGTATAAAATATTTGGAAACAAAATTGTAAAATCTGCTATTTTGTATAAAATGCGCCGGAGAATTTTTGGGATTTTCTTAGCTCATATATTCAGAATTGAAAAT